CAGACGAGCTCATCAACTCGGGACACTCGGATGCCGCCACAATTGCGGAGTGGAAGGACGGACTCAACGAGGCCTGGGCCGATCTCCTGGAGCTCATTGACACGAGAACACAGATCCTAGCAGCCTCTTACGAACTGCACAAATTTTACCATGACGCCAAGGAGATCTTGGGGCGCATTCAAGACAAGCATAAGAAGCTGCCCGAAGAGCTTGGCAGGGACCAGAACACCGTGGAAACGCTACAGAGGATGCACACGACGTTCGAGCACGATATCCAGGCCCTCGGCACCCAGGTGGGTGGCAAGTGCTGTGCCCCGTCTGTGGGCACAGCAGCCTGAGCTCAGAGCTCTGCTGCTGCCCCTGGCTCCTCTGTGGCTGGAGGCAGAGTCCTGCCAGCTGCTCTCCGAGCGGATTTCTGTGCAAATAACTTCACCCGCCTCATTTTCTTATCTGTCTTTCTGCTTCTCTGTCATTGCATTAGGTGAATTAGTTTATCTAAAATAGGAACCCGTAAGTACTCCCATTTCTGAATATGGAGGTAATTGTTTAACATTATTCCATTTCCTGGCCTTGGTTGAGGAGGAAATCATCAAGGCAGAGAACTTCTGTGTTGGTTTAAAGTAAAGAAGCTCCTGGCAGTCTCAGCCTGCGGTGTGTGTAGGAATAGAGTGGGTGGAGAGGCATGAGGGGAGCACACTTGGGCTCTTCAGAGGGCCTTGTTCGTGTTACCTCAAGCATCAGCACCAGCAGGACACTCTGTGGCTGGTAGGCTCAGAAAAGAGCTTACATTTGAAGAAGAATGTTCATTTGACTTAATGTAAATTGTCTCTTCAGTCAGTTTCTGGAAGACATTGGACGGCTACTAAAGCTGTAAAGAATTTTTAATGCATCAGAGGTACCAGGAAACACAAGTTTCAGATTTTTCTGCCTTTGCATTGTTCTTGGGTGTTGCATTAATTGTGCTGGAAGCCACTTTAGATTTGTGTGCTCCTTATGCCATGTTTGGGAAATGCAAGACACAACTGTCCTATTCCATGGAAGAATGGATATTCCAAAGGGTACATGGAGGACAAGGGCAAACATGAAGGGATTTGTAAGCCTGGTTGTTTTTTTCTTTTGTGGGGGAGTGTTGTTTAAAACCCACCAAAAAGCCCCAACCACCCCCTTTTCTCCTAGAGACTTTTCATTTTTCCTTTCTGAGAGGCAAAGGAGCTCTGCAGACTTCCACAGAGGCTTTCTGACTTGGTTATGAATCTGGACATCCTGACTTAAAATATTGCTTCCTAACAGCAATCTGAAGAGATTTAAAGTACATAGTCCAGGCTAGATTTTCAAACAGCAGCCAAACTTGATCTAATTCCCAACCTTATGAAGCCAAGGTGTGTTAAATAGAAGGCAGCAGCTGTTCGTACAGCACACAGGGCTCTAAACCAAAAAGCAGTGTTTGGCTGCAGAAGCTGCAGACTCCATCCATACAGTGGGAGGCATTCTGAAAACACCAATCCCACTCTCTCAGAAGGTGATTATCATCAAGGCCTAAATGAAGGAATATGTCATCACAGCACAGAACTCTTGTGAGAGCACTTAGGACAGTTTTTGGTGAAAGAGCTGGAGCTCCGAGATGCGTTGTTACAGCAGTGCCCTGAGCTCTGTGCCTGCAGCTGGAACAAGGCTTAATTTGGGTGTTCCAAATGTAAACAAATTTTTACAAGATAAAATTATTACACAAGAGCTAATAGAATGTTTCCTGGCTCTAAAATATCAAAAGTCAAGAAATAGCATTTGATGTCCCAAGACAGTGTTTGAAAGGAAAAAAATGTTTCGAATAGTAGAAAGATCTTTGAATTTCTAAATTTTCTCCTGTTTGAAGTCAATATCTACATTTTTGAAAAAACCTTGCTGTCATTGAAATGCATTTTTCATATTCTGACAGAGCAGGAAGACCATACTGTGTCAGAGCAGTGGTTTTGATAAGGGAGTTCCTGGGCAGCATTGAAAACTTGATGGTGAAAATGGTCCCCGTTTGCCCTGCCATCTAACAGTCACCCTGGGCTGGCACCCAGTTGTACAGGAGGTTTAGGCAGTGGCAAGTCTCTGTTATTTTGGGAGCCCCTTGACCCAACTGTCTCTCTAGGAAATATTTTCAGAGGGATATACTGGCTTAAGGACAGAACAAACCCTTTTAGTGTCAATGGCCCACACGTATTTCCCATGACTTTAGGCAGCCGTTCAGGTGAGGAATTAACAGCTGAAGTGTCCCCGTGCCCAAACGCTGATGCAGTTCTTACAACACCCCGGCAGGTGAGGCAGCTGCAGGAGGACGCCGCTCGCCTCCAGGCTGCCTATGCTGGAGACAAAGCTGATGACATCCAGAAGAGGGAGAACGAGGTGCTGGAGGCGTGGAAGGCGCTGCTGGACGCCTGCGAGGGCCGCAGGGTGCGCCTGGTGGACACGGGGGACAAGTTCCGCTTCTTCAGCATGGTGCGTGACCTCATGCTCTGGATGGAGGATGTCATCCGGCAGATAGAGGCCCAAGAGAAGCCAAGGTAAGGGGAGGGGTGCTCTCTCTCAGAAGCTGGGGCTGCAGGTCAGCTGAGGGGGGCAGGGTCACTGAGCCGGCGATGGGGAGGGGCTGTCAGAACTGGGTGGTGGTGTTGCAGCTCGCTGCCCAGCAGAGCCGGGGGGCTGCTGATGTAATTGCAGAGTAAAACTGTGTTCAGAGAGACTGCATCCCCCACCTTTGTGTATTTGGGCTGTGATTTGGGCCAGAACGGTGCCCTTCCTAAAGAAAGGCTGCAAGCAGTCTGGCTTCTGGAACTAAACAGACAAGCTAGGAATTAATTTTTTTACCATACAGCTCATAGAATCATAGAATCATAG